GGAGGAAGGAAGAAAAGAAAGAAAGAAAGAAAGAAAGAAAGAAAGAAAGAAAGAAAGAAAGAAAGAAAGAAAGAAAGAAAGGGAGGGAGCAAGGGAAGGAAAGAAAGGAAAGGAAGAAAGAGAGAAAGAAAGAAAGGAAGAAAGAGAGAAACAAAGAAAGAAAGAAGAAAGAAAGAAAGAAAGAAAGAAAGAAAGAAAGAAAGAAAGAAAGAAAGAAAGAAAGAAAGAAAGAAAGGGAAGGAAAGAAAAGGAAGAAAGAGAGAAAGAGAAAGAAAGAAAGAAAGAAAGAAAGAAAGAAAGAAAGAAAGAAAGAAAGAAAGAAAGAAAGAAAGAAAGGGAGGGAAGGAAGGAAAGGAAAGGAAGAAAGAAAGAGAAAGAAAGAAAGAAAGGAAGGAAGGAAGGAAGGAAGGAAGGAAAGGAAAGGAAAGGAAGAAAGAGAAAGAGAAAGGAAGGAAGGAAGGGAAGGAAAGAAAGGAAACGAAAGGAAGGAAGAGAGAAAGAGAAAGAAAGAAAAGAAAGAAAGGAAGGAAGGAAGGAAGAGAGAGAGAAAGAAAGGGAAAAAAGAAAGGAAAGGAAAGAACTCTGTGCCAGAGAAACACATCTCAAAAAGCCAATGCAAACTCATGCTTACGGGTGCATTCCCCCCCTCCCCCCAAAAACTTGGCTCCGCTCCCGTTGAAGTCACTAGGAACAAGGGACTGGAAGCGAGAAAGCAGAACAGGATCTTAAAATCCACTTGGGGCAGAGAGATTTTCACCAGGACTGGCTACGAGAAAAATCCAGCTGCTTTTTTGCAGCAGTAAAGAACTCCCCCCCCCCCTTTTTTTTTCTTTTAAATTTCAAGAGAGACCGTTAGTTTCTCTCCAACCCAAGGAGGGGAAAAAAAAAAACCAAACCAAAAAAACAAAACAGATGTTCAGGAAACCGTGCAGTAACCCTTAATCCTGCCTCTGGGGGACGCCGAAAAAAGGGAGATTTGCAGAACCCACACTGATCCGCTTCGCACGGCACGCGAACGTAGCTCAACCCCTCCGGTAGCCATCCAGTCCCAATGTATCCCCTCCACCTGCAAAGAATTCCTCCCCCAGGATTACACACACACACACACACACACACACTGCCCTTCCCAAGATTTCCCCTCCCGGATTTAACCCCCTCGGGCCCTCCCGCCAGATCCTTGCCTCCTGCCAGGGCTAAAAAAGGAATTCGAGGGTGTTGCATTTTGCCAGCCTTCTAATCCCCAATTCCCCTGGCTGATCTCTGGAAAGGCAGGGAAAGCTGCGGGGAGCCAGGTTAGGAAAGATGCCACCGATTTAAATCGGTGGTGGCGATCACTTTCCCCGCCACAGGCCGGTTGCTTAGCTGCCTGAGGCTTCAATTGCTCGCTCTGGAAACAACTGTCGCTCAAGGTCAATGCTAAGCCAAAATGTCACGTCGTCGTTCATCCTGCGATTGAAACCTGAGGACAGTTGAATGAGAGACACCTCATCCAGAAAATTGGGGGGGGGGGGGG